GTGTTATCGAGCCATTTAACACAACGGAGACCTGGAGCTCCGCCGGGGCACTGTGGGAGACGGTGTAGAACACACTTTCGAGTTACCCTCTAGAAATGAGAAAGCGGGGTGTTTATCCACCTGCTCCACTCTCTATCATTGCTTGATGGCACTTCTGCCCTATCCCCACACTCACACACAAGTCAAACCTGCTTCCTAAACCTAAAAAAAAGGCCCTGGGGCAGAGAGTTGCAGCTGTAGTGTAGAGATGACGTGTCTAGAGGGCATGGGTGGGGCATCGCCATGTCTTGCACACACCCTCCATTGATGGAACTGCCAGAGAACAGGCATTCTCATCTGTTGCTGGTGAGAATGGAAATTGTCACAAAACTTAGATAATTGGGAATGCCTACTAGATATTGACAATTTGACAATATTGCACTGATTCTTCTCTCCTGGTGCATATTTTTTTTTATTTTGACTTGGCAGTCCCACTTCTGGGAATTGATCCTACCGCTAAGATTTGCACGTGTAGCAAATGACAAATGTGCAAAATTATGATGCAGCACTATTTGTGATGAGAAATTCTTGGGAACAATCTAATGTCCATCAATGGGGAGGGGTTAAATAAACTAAGGTACCATGGAATGCTGTGCAGTTATAAAAACAAATGAGGCAGCACTCTGTGCACTGAGGTAGCAAGATTTCCAGGACATGGTAAGTGACATAAATAAAGTGCAAGAAAATTATACTGTCTTTTGCACTTAAAAAAGAGAGGGAGGCCGGGCGCAGTGGCTCACGCCTGTAATCTCAGCACTTTGGGAGGCCGAGGCGGGTGGATCATGAGGTCAAGAGATCGAGACCATCCTGGTCAACATGGTGAAACCCCGTCTCTACTAAAAATACAAAAAATTAGCTGGGCATGGTGGTGCATGCCTGTAATCCCAGTTACTCAGGAGGCTGAGGCAGGAGAATTGCCTGAACCCAGGAGGCGGAAGTTGCGGTGAGCCGAGATCGCGCCATTGCACTCCAGCCTGGGTAACAAGAGTGAAACTCCGACTCAAAAAAAAAAAAAAAAAAAGAGAGAGAGCGGGAAAGTCACACAAATTCATGTTCTCGTAGAGAAATGGACAGGATACAGAAGAAATTAATAACAGCATTAAGGTAAGACTGGTGGTGGTGGGGGGGACTGGTGGACAGGGTGAAATCATATATAGGAATATGTATTTCTAAAAATAAATACCTGGAGGATTTTCCAAAGCAAGGACCAGTTTGCCACTTCATGGAGCTGATGACATGTGGCCTTTCCACAAATGCACATCTGAGTGTTAAACATAAGATTAAGCACACAGGGTGGTTTAGAAATTATTTTAATGAAAAAAATGGATGTTCTACAGGAACGTGATATTCAATTCTATTGAAGACCAAGGAAATTTTTATTTCTAGTGGTTGGAGATGGATATTATAACTAAACAAAATAATTTTACTAGAAAACATTTATGTTACAAAAAGAAAAAAATGGAAAGGCTATATAACTCGATCAAGCTGAGCTAATGACTGGTGTACCAGTCCTAGAGAAACACACACACACACACACACGCCCACATGCACACATGTGAATGCATTATTTAATTTGAAAATTAAATTTAGAAATACTGATGGCTATCTGATGGTATGGAATTATGGGGCAGTTTTCACTCTATCTCATACATTTTTATCTGTTTCAATGCCTTAAGTAATGCATGTATTATTCTGAAATCTGGAAAAATAGTAGAGAAATAATGACTAAATACAAACTAGGAAGACAGACAATAGTAGAAAATAACCCAAATAGAAGGTTTACCCACCCAGGTGTTGAGTTGCAAGGAATAGAAATGACTCTGATTAAAGCAGAAAAGAAATGTATTGGAAGGATATTGGATAGTTCACAGAGTTACTAGAAAAGGTAGAAGTAACAGGCTTCGGATGCAAGCAGAACCCAAGGCGGCCAGGTAGCAATAACTATGGAACCATCTGATGAATTGCCTTCTACTCACTGGCCCTGGCTCCCTCTGACTTTTAGGGGAAAGGACGTCAGACCAGAAGTGTCAACTGAGGCACCAGACTATGACGGTTTTAGATGTCAGAATGAAATGTACGGTAACCACCAGGCAGAAAGGTCAAAGCAAGTGACCCAGAACTGGGAACACTGAGCACGTTAAAGATATGAGAGGCTAAGACTGGGGGGCAGTCCTTGAAGAGGGCCTTAGAAGGGATTAGTGGAGTCCTGTCATGCTAAGGGAGAGGGAGTCAGAAGGGTTTGCGGGAGAGCTGCGAACAAACCCATGAAAATGCCCACCTTTAGATACTGGCTGGACCCAAAAAGCAAAAGCCAGTTTATGATCGTAACCAGTCTGTTAAGAAATGTTGCATTCCTCTTACCTTTCCACATGGCCCAACCCCAAAGGGAACCAAAGTAGCAGCTAGCCAGTGGGGAGAATGTGATGGTAAGAGGGAGAAGGCAGCTCACCCTCTTCACAGCCCTGGCTGGGAGAGAGAATTTTTACCTTTGCCTAAATATAAAAGCGTGATTAATAAACCGGGACTGTGTTTTGCAACTCAGTAACCATAGAACTTTGTTGTGACAAAGTGAGGGAAAGTCACTCAGAAACACTGTCATGGAGGAGGCTTAACGGAGTGGACAAAAATAAAGTGGGTTTCAAGATTACCCATCACAATTCCAGTAAAGTGACAGCCACACAGAAACAGGACAGCACTGCTGCAGTCACTGAAATAATTAAAGCTGCCTCAGCTTCTTCATGTCATTTGTACCAAAGTCCCAAACAGAACTATCTGATTGGCAGAGGGAGGACTTCATGCTCTGGCTGCCTTGGTTCATGTGGCCTGCAGTACTCTACCTGTGGAATTCCTCAAGCTTAGGAGAAGGGTTCAGGTGAGCGGGCAAAAACCTACCCATGTGCACTATAATGCAAGGCTTTGCATTCACTTCTGATGGGTACTGGACTCCGCTAAATGTGGGTAGAGCTGTAATGGAGACACAAGACAACTGCAGGAAGGGTAACACAGACCCTGCTCGCAATGAAGCAGCATTTCCCTGCACTCCAACCACCACAGCATAAAAGTATTTCACTTTACCTAGAACCTGAGAGCTTAAACAACTGTTTCATGTCATTTCATTTGCTCTTGACCATAATGCAGTGAGATAATTCTCCAGTGTCCCATGGTGTGACAAGCACATAGTTGGTATTCAGTAAATATCTGTTGAATGAATGAACAAGTAAAGGCATGAATGGGTGAGGAAGAATTAAATCCAGTAAAGTACATGCTTTGCAGTTGGTCAGCAGAGTTCAGTACTGTCCAGTGGAACTTACAGAAATGATGAAGATATTTTTGTGCTGTGCAACACAGTAGCTGCATATGGCTACCGAGTGCTCAAAATGCGGTGTTTAATTTTAATTTTAATGGCCACATGTGGCTCCTGGCTATTTAACTGAACTGCACAGGTCCAGAGTTCAAATCCCAGCTCTGTCTTTATTTGACTTATAACTTGAGCAAACTTTGTAATTTCTCTAAGTCTCCATTTCCAAAATGTAAAATGGGGAAAATGATGTTTCCCGACCTCACCAGTTGTGATGGTTAAAAGAGGCTTCTATATGAAGAGTGAAGTTCACTGGGCTGTGAAGGGCAAAGCTCTGCCCTGGTGGCAGCTCAATAAATGGAAGCCACCATTGGGATTATTGTGACTTACCAGCACTGTTGTTACCACTACTACGGCAGTAATGCCAACAGGGATAAGCTAAAGAGGCTGCTCAGTCACATGGCTAATGCACATAAGAATGGGATTTGCATCTTCTGTATTCGTTATAGCAGTGGCTTTCTGACTACCAAGTTAAACAAGGCTCCAAGACCCGGTTACCAGCCCTAATCAGTGTTCATGCACTGAAAAATGAGTCTTCCACATTTGTTTGCAAATAGTATTGAAAATCGGATGCCACTGAAATTAATAAACATATTTGTTCAAAATCAATGCTGAATTTATAGCTTTTTGTCATTACATAGATTTTCAACAAACAGCTGCTAAAAGTACCACTATTATTGAGGTCCTTTGAATCTTTTGACATTGAACAGGCATACTTATTCTCTTTAATTACTTTTTGTTAAAATAGTCTGTGTGTATATATACATGCACATACACACACTGTCTTTTGTGTGTATGTATATGTCAAGAGAAAATGGTGATGCAAGAAACTCCACAAACCTGTATATACTTTAGGTACATTTGCTAGAAAAATGAATGGCAGTTTTTACCAAAGGGAGTTTATTTAAAGTCAGTTAATAGAAAAGATCAAGGTATAATTCCCTAAAGGATTCTGCAATAATCAGTAACTATAATAAATCAAGCTCTGGGTTTACTTTAAAAAATGAATTTCACAAATTCAGAATAGGTGAAATAATGCTTTAAAGCTAATTATGGGAAAGATTTGAGAGTTTTAAAATAGTGATCTTGAGTGGAGTGACTATAACCCAGAAGGCACATGAGGATCCACCAGAATGAGGGAAAAGTTACTACAACCACTATATTTATTTTTTTAAAAAAGAAGTCAGGCTTCACTGATATTTAATATATGTAATTGGCAGCTGTGCATACATATAATTTTAGTAGATATGTGTCTGCGGGTGCACATACAAAATTATTTTACTAAGAAGACTGTACCATTAAAAATCTTTAGAAATGCTTGTCAGAAGAGAGGCAGCACATAACCCGCAGTATGATGTGATTATTTAGAACAGGACAAAATTTGAATTTTCTTTGTTCTATTACTTAGCTTTCCTATGTAACAAACCACCCCAAAACAAATTGGCTTACAACAACTAGCATTTTTAATTGTTTAGAATCAGCACAATGTCACTTGTACTGACAATCTATGAATAAGGGTTCTGAAAGGTAAATCATGGGAGAAAGGGTTGAAGGAACTGGGATGGGTTTGCTATGAAAAGAGAACACTAATAAGAAAAAGGAGTTTGTGTTAGACATTTACTATCTTTATTTCTTATAGCTTAGTTTCCAATACAATTTATAGTGGACAGAAAAATGTTTTGAATGGATAATCCCTTGAAGCAACAGAAATTAAAGCACTTTTTTTCTTTTCCCAAATCAATTTTATAATTATAGAACTATATGATTTCAGTGAGTTCCATTTGGTAGAATGACACAGTCAGCTGACATGAAAATGACTAGAAATTCCCAGTGGAGATGTGTATATTTCATACTTGTCCACTTTCCTCATTTTTATTATGAAATTGGCCAGTTCTTTCTCCTCTTTTTAAAAGAAAATCAATATGACCTTTACTTCTTTTTCTTTTTCCCCTAACTCAAATTCTACAATTGTACATTCAAAATATGAACAGATTTGAAAACAGATTATGAAGAAAAAGCTTTAGTACAAACAAAAGAAAAAGATGGAGTAAAATGCATGTCCATCGCTGCATGGGAAATGGTGTGGCAAACATGTGGTACCTCTCCGCGGAGAAAGGAACAGGTAGTGACTAAGAAAGTTGCTTGTCCACCTAAAAAGAGGACGCAAAATAAAATATATTTTAAAGAAAATCCATGCAAATACAGTGTCCCTTCTGGGTATAGCTGGAACAGCGCTCTGTTTGAATAATTTTATAGCTTCACCTAGAACTAAAATTTCTGCAAACTTATACCAAAAAATTCTCTTAAAATTTATGCATTGTATAAGCAAATACTGTATTATAAGATTTAGCATTAAATGTTAAGATCATCCAATATAATAAATTTTAATAACCAATAACCTTGAAAATTTGGCCATGATAAAATTTATTTATTTTGCTTTTTAACAAACAAAAAATTAAGACTGCAATACAAACAAAAATGTTGTTTCTTTTGGCAGCATTATTAGAAGAAAAATCGGAAATGACTACATCCTTACCCTAAGAATGTTTTAGCCAAGTAGTTAAAAAAATTTCAATCTGTATGTTCTTCCACTCTTCTAGGCCCAAAGTTAATTTTTACTGAGTGGTACAAAATAGAAAAGGACATTTGCTTCTGGCACTGTGACCTTCTCTAGGCCCTGCCTGCGTTACTCTGATACAACATATTTCTGTCACACACATGTGATATAACCAGCAACCATTGTCCTTAAACACTCGACAGCATGTGAAAGGGAAAAGAAAATTTTCTTTTGCATCAATAAAGAGTGCTACACTATAAACACACTTCATTCTTTGATAAAATGGATGATTTAAAAAATTATTTAGTTAGGTAATTGCTCAACTTATTTTTTTTCCAGCTATACACATGGAAACATCTAATTTTTGCTCTGAAACCAATGAAGCTCAAACATATTGTAAACAACTTAAAATTTTTTAAAAGAAATATATAGCTGATCCATATGTTTTCCAACTAAGCCACAGTATAAAACCTCTATGTTTAAAAATGCCATACCGTCCATAGATACTCACACATACATATACACACCGATGCAACTCCACACTTACCCACTGATGACTGAACCTTTTAGCATGGATTGGTGAAGGGCAGCGGAAAAGAAATGGGGAGAATTTTTTTCTCAATAGGCATGTTTACTAAACAGGACATTTTACTCAGTATTTTGTTTTAGTGTGGGGGGGAATCCTAATTGTATTTAGACTTTATATGGCATGGGTTACTCAGTTCACAGCAGAAGCACCTGCAGCAAATTAATTTGTTGTAGCACATTAATTATCTCATAGCTTCTATTTAGGCTGCAGCTGTTGCTATTATGTTAATAATATTTTTATTACCACTGTATACAACAGGTTATGTCCATAATAGAAATATCTCTTTCTCTCTCTCTTTTTTTGGCATCTCCCCCCCTTGTTGTTTTCATTTTTCTATGTCAGGAGGGGAGACTGAAAGAAATTTAGGCAAATTAAGCCCCAAAGCGCACTATAATTTTCTATTTCTGAACTGATTTGTAAGAGAATGGATAAGTGAAATTAGCAAAGAATCACCCCACACAAAGATGGCGCGTGCAGAATTTGTGAAAGCGAAAAAGAAGACGAAGGAGAAGCAAAGAGGGACGGAACACTGCAGTGCCAGGGTGGTGAGTGTTTGGATGGGGGCGGGGAAAATGCTGCAGTTTTCATGAAATAATAAGGTGGGGGAAAAAGGCATACAAAGAGTAGGTTTTTCATTGTTTGTAAAATATAAACACAGATGAATTCTGTCTTTGGTTTGTTCATGCTTTTCACTCTGCACAGCAGGGATGTTCTTAAGAAGTTGCCCTCTGCGAAATTTCACTAAATGGGAACCGTGGACCCTGCATGATGGGATTATAATCACACCAGCCACTCCTTTTACATAATTTTTTGTTTAAGATCCAGTAAGACTCCCTGTTTTTAATACATATAAAGCAATAGACATGTATATGTCGATAAACTGAGGGTGTGCATCCCTATTGCCTAGTGCAAGCTAAAACAAAAAAACCGGTGATATCACATCTACAAATCTCAATGGATTCAAAAACAATATGAAAATTTTTAGCTGACAAGAACATGTCTGCTGCCTGCAGTCCCTGCAATAGCTCACCATGTTGCCTACTAACCAAAAGATCAAAAATTATCGATTTCATGGCGCTGCGAGGTCTGGAAAGAAAAGCTACTTTAAAATTTGCATTGTTTAAGAAATGACTTAAAAGAAAAGAATCATTTTTTTTCTGAACATTTTGGAAGGTGAAAATGACTTGTTTTAATCTTATCCATGATTTGCTATAATTCTATTATTTTTAGCAGCTGGAGTCCAGAAATGATTTTTTTTCGGTGAATTTAGGATTTTGCCGCAGTATACATCTGCAGTCCCAGAATCCTCCGGTAAGTTAATCCTTCTTGCGATGGGAAACGCCTTTAGCCTTCTTGTGAATGAAATATCTGCAACCATTTTGAAATTTTTAATAGAGGGGTGTGTGTGTGTGTGTGTGCACGTGCGTGTGTTGCGGGTGTGTGTCTCCGAAGCATGATTTCTTAGAAATGCAGCGGTACTTGTCTGAGTTCTTAGAAACATTGAGAAACGTATATACCTTCATGTTCTTTGCATATCATGGATGAAGTCTCCATTGCTTCTCCTTCACACTTTGCACGGTAGCCATTAAAATATACTTTGTCAGTATGGCAAACCAGTGAAGGCCTCGAGAACACATACCTCCAAACATGTAGGGTGTTCCCGACATAACTGAAGTGACCAGGCCACAGCAACCACCATGGCCACTGCCTCCCGCCACCTTCACCGCCCCTCCCTCGCTCTGCAGTGTACATCAGCTGCAGGCTTCCACAGCGGCTTTCCGCCGAACTTGCCCAGTGGGTTCCTAGATTACTTCTGTGTGCGGGAATAGCCAACCATGTAGTCTGACAAGAGGTATTTACAACTACTTAGCCTGTTCAGCTGGAAAGAAATCAAAAGATAACACCGAACCCTGAGACGATGTATTACAAATCAGAAGTCCCAATCCATAAATAGCCCACTTGATGAACTGCTGAATGAGAAGCTGGTCCTGACTACTGTCCAGTGTTTTTACATTCTCATAAGAAACATTCTTAACAAGCCTTCTTAGAGAGTTGGGATTGATTGTTTTTAAATGCACAGAATGTTATTCTTACCTTTCCGCTGGGTGGGGAGCCTTCCGAGGGGATTTGGATGTAGAGTCCAACAGAGACCACACCCTAGTTTCACAGCTTGTTTTCCACCGTTTCTGCTTCTCTTAAAATAGGGTTAACAGTTACAATTTTACATTAATTTAAGAGACCTAATCAAAAGGAGCCAGTCACCCGTTTCCCTCTCTCTAAGGGAAGCTCATTGTCTTAGGTGCTCAATAAATGTTTAATTAATGGATTTGATAGAGTTAAGCATCCAAAAAGTGAACGAACCTTCTTTACAATGCTGGCGTGATTCATATTTCTGTTTGAAGTGTGAAATAATCTGGGCTGGTTTTTTTTTTTTTTTTTTTCTCTCTCTCTCAAAGGTAATTCAAAAGCATCTGTTTTAGGGAAGGGATCCCTTACATTCAGGTCAGTGGCCTGATAGCATGACACGAAATATCTTCTCTCTTAAACTAGCTGGAGACACTTGGTTTCTAAGAATACAGATTAAAAATTAGAACCACTTGTCTGTCGCCATTTCATAAAATTAATTTATGTCAAACCCAGGATGACTGGCTCTAGAATAAAAGGCAAAAAACAGATAACCAACTGTTTTTTATGAAATGTATTGTCCAGGGTCAATCTTTAAAAAATTATTTAACAAAATTTCTTATTTCACCAAACTCAGGTATTCTGATACTGTATTTTTCCTTGGTTTAATGATAGTATTTGTCTTCATTCCATAGAAGTTATTCATCTCATATTTTTGGTGAGACAACTAGAACAATTTCTGCCTTATGAAACATGCAAATAAAAATTAGGAGCAATGTTAAGTTTAACTTGCTTTAATGCTAGTAAACCAGTAATTCTTCAGTCAACTTATTATGACAGGAAAAACAGCATGTTGCATTGTTGCAAATTTTACCTTTTTAAAAAATAACATGTATTTGTTTATGGTGTCAATAGGGATTAAAAATCCTAATTCTAAATTTAAAGTATTTGTAGAAAAATGATTCCATTATTTTGGTACCGGAACACAGAAACAGAAATATAGAAATGTTTTTTTCCTTTAGATCTTCCAATGGTGCAGATATTTCTTAGCCAATTTCAAGAGTGCCTTATTCAACAACAAAAAACACTGCATATAGAAAAACATTTAAAAAAAACCCTGCAAAAGTGGTGAATCTGTCGTCTGATTTTGAATGTATGACTTTAATCACGTCAATTGCATATTCCTTAACTCTGCAAATGACAATTAAAATTAGCAATCAGTACCTGAAAACGCCATTTATACTTCTGACTTTATATTAGAAACATGGCTTTAATGAAATACCTTTTTCGGTTCAATCTTTTTGAATTGTGAGTACAACCAATAGCTACACTTAATTCTACAGAATTACTAGGGAAGATACTAATGAGAAGGTTTTTCTAGACAATGGATCTCACTGAACGTCATCTTAGTGTGTGGACTTTTTCCAATGCAGTGGCCCACATGTGCTATGGTGACAGACGGCAGTTGGCATTACCATTTATATAGTAAAATATATTTAAGACAAAAATAAAAGTTATGTCAAGAATATGTTGTCCCTGAAACACGAGCTATGCCTTGAGTGAGTAAGCAAGTGGGTTTCCTGCCTGCATCTATGTGTAAAGAGCTATTGTTTGCATGTATTAATTGCGGTCCCGGGATAAAAGCACAGAGGTAACTTTCACTGCTGCTTTTTGTACTCTCTCCAGTGTTTTGGAGGAAAAATAAGCACAAACAATAGACTAGAGAAAGTGAAGCGATCGTCATTGCTGCAGCTTTGACAAATGCCAATTTTGCTGCATTACAATGGGAAACATTTTTCAGCCTATCAAAATTAATTACAAAACGTTTTTGAAAGTCAGTTAAAAAAATTACAGGCTGCCTAATCGATCGCTTTTTCTATAAACATACTTCGATTTCTCAAGTAATACCGTAAAAATCTTCTTCTCCAAAGAAAAATCCCCACAAATAAATCTACTGATACCTGGTGACAAGTGGAACCAGATAAAAATGGAATCTATGAGAATTAACCTAATTGACAGTGCTCTGGAGCGAATCCGTTTCCACTAGCTATTTGTTCACAGTGGGTACTCGGGAGGACTTGTTGAACTGCGGGCTTGGCGCCCGCTCTCCGGGGAGTTCACAGCCCTCGCGAGTGGGATCCAGGGCGGCTTGGCCCGGCGGTTCAGGTGGAAACTCAAGCCGAGCCGCCTGCTGAGCGGTGGGACCACCATCCGGACAGCGGGGCGCCTCCGGGCGCCTGGACTGGGCCGCCAGCCAGGGCCGGCAGGGAGCGCGCGGCAGACCGCAAGGTCGCGAGGCCCCGTCACCCGCGCCGGGCCGCGAGTCCGCAGACGGGCGCCCAGGAGCGCCCCGAGCCGGGCGGGCGCTGGCCCCGAACTTCCGCCCTCCCGGGACCCGTCCCGCCCGCCCCGCGCAGCCCCCGAGGGCCGGGGCCGAGGAGCCACCTTCCGCAGGCCGCGGGGAAGGCTCTCCGGCTCGGGAAACGCGCGGGGCGGGGGCGTCGGGCTTGGGACGGGGGAGGAGACGGGGCCCCCTTCCCGCACCCAGGCCTGCAGGGGCCCGGCCGCCCCGACGCAGACCCCGGCGCCCTCCGGGGCGGCCCTCAGGTCCCGCGCGCCGGGCAGCCGCCAGCCCGCGCCCCGGGGGGCGTCCGTGGGGAGCGTCCGCGGCGCGCGCGGCCCCCGCCCCGACCCGGGGCGCCCTCACGGCGGCGCACGGCTGGCGGCGCGGGACTACTTTCCCCCGCCCTCTCGCGCCCCGCCCCGTGTCCTCGCGCGGCGGAACGCTCCGCGCGGCGCCGGCGGCGGCAGGATACAGCGGCTTCCGCGCGACTTATAAGAGCTCCTTGTGCGGCGCCATTTTAAGTCTCTCGGTCTGTGGCAGCCGCGGTAGCCCGGCCCCGGGAGCGGAGAGCGAGGGGAGGCGGAGACGGAGGACGGTCCGAGGAGCAGCCTCAGTCCCCGCCGAGCCGCCACCGCAGGTCGAGGACGGTCGGACCCCCGCGGCGGGAGGAGCCTGTTCCCCTGAGGTGCTTGGGCGCTCCTTTCCTTATCCTTCCGGGGCTGCTCCCGCTTCCTCTCGGAGCCAAACTTCGTCGCTGGCGCGCGCTCCGGGCGGCGAGCTGGGAGCCGGGCCCGGCGCAGCCCGGAGGCCTGGGGTGGGGAGCGGGGGACTCAGGTGGGGGACGGCGGGTGCGGGCCGCGCCCCGGGCGCGGAGGGCGGCGGCCGGGCCCGGGTTCCGGTCGCGCTGCCCCTCGGGGGCCCCGGGGGCATCGCTTGCCGGGGGTGGTGCTGCGGGGTCGCGGCCAGGAGCCCGGATGGCCGGCGGGGTGGGGGTGGGGGTGGGGGGGTCTGTGGTTTCTGCCCGGGGCTCCGGCCTTGGCCGAGTTTGGGGGAGGGACCCTGTGCCTCGGGATGCGCCGGGACCGGGGTGGGGGGCGGGGTGGGGACGGGGGGCTCCGCCTTCTCAGCTCCTGCGGCGAGTTGGGGTTCGGGGGCTCAGGCCGGAGCGCCACGCTAAGTTCCATCTGTCCTGGGGATCCGCCGACTGGACTTTTGTTAAGATTTCAGAAGAATAGAAGTGTTCAGGCCGGGGCCTTTTTTTTTTTTTTTTTTTTGGTAATGCCCTGCCTATGGGAGTTTGAATCGAAGCAACTTTAAACCTTAGAGTTACTAAACTCTGAGTGCGGTCGGTGCGATGCGTCAGTAGGGTGTTGCACGTAAGAAATCCATGTCTTGCACCTATGTTTTAGCGTACCTTGCAGGTGAGTGAAAGCAGTGGATAAAGTAGGAGAGTCTTCTGGATTTATGGTAGTGGGCATGAGACCGTGGTGAAACGAGGGGGTGGAGGAAGGCGAAGGTGATGGCTGTTTGTTAACCACGTTAACTGCAGGATTCAGCCTCTGACTCAGACTGCTTCGAGTATTTTGTTCTTAGAAATAATTTAAATTTACTCAAATAGTTTGATGGCAGCTAAACTTGATTTTTAGAGCACGTTTTCTTTTCAGCGGAGTGAATTTTTCCTTCTCTGCAAAACGGCCAAATGCAATTCAAGCGGTTGAAACTTGTCTCAGTGTTTTGTCTGGAGAGAGGACTTTGAACCGAGACTTTCCGAAGTTAAGTCCCTATAGCCCGCTTCTGAATCTGCCAAGCTGGAAAGCTTTGGCACTGGGTGTAGTTGTTCCCTTCGTTCTGTTCCCGTGTGGAGGGACATTGTCTCATACTTTGTATCTTCCAGACATCTGTGGTCTCCCCCCTCCCCGGCCCCCCACCCCTCGAGTTTGTGAGTGGTGAATGAAGAAAGACTAGGGCTGCTGGTATGCAGAGGTCGGCAAAAGGAAATCGAGGAGTGGTTTTAGTGAAATGAGAGCTTTGTATCGTGAATAATGGTGGTTTAGGCTAGACATCAACTTGAAGAGACGGCAGCGTTTCCTTTGATAATGTCTAGGCTAATGTTTTTCAGATCGCCAAGTTGTAAAGTAGTCTGTCTGGAATTTAGGAAGCCATTTCAGTGTTTGTCACTTGGTGAGCGAACATTCAATACCTTCAGATGTCTTCGTGTTGATTTGTATCATCCTAAGAAATATTAAACATAGCCTCAAGTGTTATTTATATTATACTGCTGGTTTACTATCTGCTTAAGTTATTGACATAAATTTCTACTTTGGAGTCTTTTCGTTTGAACTAAGGCTGCTGCGACATTTATTTTACTTTTATATTTATATCTTTGAAAAATCTCTGATTAAAAAAGTACTCTTAAGGGTTTGAGGATGTCCTTTCACACCAGACAAAATTTGGTTAATTTGCGCCCAATATTCATTAATTTGACCTAACCTTTGTTCTGAAGGCCATGTACAAGGACAAGGCCCTGAGATTACTGCAACAATAACTTGAAAAACTTTCAGAAGTCTATTCTGTAGGATTAAAGGAATGCTGAAACTATTCAAGTCTGAAGTCCTGGGGGTGGGGAAAAGTAAAAACCTGTGCTAGAGAGCTTAGTATATCATGTAACTTTAGAGTCCTGAGGAGTCGTGAGTCTCCCACAGACCAGAGCAATCATTTAAAAGTTTTCAGGAAAAACCAACTTTAAAAAAAAAAAAGGTGGCTAATAAAAATTGAAGCATTTAACAGTGTTCAGGTTTCAGAGTATCGAGGGGTTTTTAAAACTGTTACTGGATTATTTCCTTTACCAAGATGATGATATAGAAAAGTGTATTGCCAATATTAAAATTTATCAGACTGAGCTTCTTACTGTTCCTGTTGATGATTGGATAAAAATTGGCATAAATGAGGGTCTCTGTGCTTGTTTTCATAACATCACCACCAAGATAGAAAATGAGGAGGCAAGTTTAAGAGTATTTTGAAATGTGTTAG